AGAGGAAACAGCATAAACTTTCTGTCACTTGTTCTCTGTTCTCTTGTCCATTTTAGATCCATTTAGATCTATTTTGAGATCATGGATGTCAGAAAAGAAACAAATCTATATCAAGGTTTATTCATCAGAAGAACCACAGTTAGGTGTCAGGAGATCCCTTTCAACACATCCCTTGTTTCCAATATTACTGACGTAACCTTAAGAATTTGGGTGAGAACGTGAAAACTAGTTTTAGGTAATTTATCTTTTCATTAAAAAGAAGTAGGGTTCGGCCCTCACTGGTGGCGCAGCGGGTTAAAGCACAGCACTAAGAAGCTGAAGCCAAGTCCACATGAGTTTGATCCCCGCCTGCCCCGGAGGTGACCACATGGCCTGGCAGACCTCTCCTGACCCGCCCGCTGCTCCCCTCAGCAGTGTTCTTATATGCAAAATAAAAAGCACCCAAAGTTTGTTTAAAAAAAAAAAAAAAAAAAAGAAGGCCCTCCCTAATGGCGCAGCGGGTTAAAACACTGCACTAAGAAGATTAAGCCACTTCCTCATGAGTTGGATCCCCGCCTACCCCGGAGGTGACCACATGGTGTGGCAGATCTCTCCTGACCCACCCGCTGCTCCCCTCAGCAGTGTACTTCAGTTGATCTGCCTGTTCTGCTCCCCACTCTGTCTCTGGTGAAGCCTCTCACCCTCCGCATCTCTGGCCTATACCCCAGCTCTGTATGTATGTATGTATGTATGTATGTATGTATGTATGTATGTATGTATGTATGTATGTATGAATGAATGAATGAATGAATGAATGAATGAATGAATGAATAAAAGATGAGTAATGAAGGCAGCTCATACACCATGTCTCTGACCCCTTGCTTGAACAGCTGACCTCTTCTCTCAGCTGGTGCCAACACCGCACTCACTGCCAGTCTCCCCGGCGTGTAAGTGTGGACAGTGGCCACACCGCTTCTGTTCTTCCCTGCCTGCACAACCCAGTGATCACCGCAGGCAGGCACCCCGCTCTGCCCATGGAGAAGGGCTCCCCATACCCACTCTGGAGATCAGGCCCGTGGGTCAGTGGGGAGGGGCAGGCTGGCACCATCACTGCCAGGGGGCAGATCTTCCTCCTCCTCCTCCCACTGCTTTGACCTCCCCTCGCCCTCTTGCTCTTCTCTCCATCCTCTCCCCCTTCCCAGACCCGGGGTGTGTGTGGGGGGGAGGTCTGTATACCAGATCACAAAAAACCCATGGGCTATGCTGCTACCCCTCTCTCCTTTTGAAATGAAGGTCTTGGGCGCATCTGCTAGTAATCAGGGCAACAACTTAGGAAGCTGGGGGGAGGGAGGCTCAGGAGCAAGGAAATGAAGCAAGTGTGCTAGAAGCTACAACTAGCCAGAAACACTCAGACATGCTGCGGAGCAAGACGTGATCAGCTCTTCCTTGCACAGCAAGCAAGAAGAGGCGCCGAATGGGGTTCAAGAAGCAGCAGGGTAGGGATGAGACCCCCTCTTCATAGGCTGTGAGAACTAAACTGAGATGGTGGATGTGGAAGCAAGGCAGGGGCAGAATGGCGGCGATCGGCCCAACCAGCACCAACTCTCCCTACAGGCCGGGACACCCTCTTCTCTTTTCCTCTCCCAGGTTCTGAGGCGGCACAGGGCAGAGACTCTGCCCCTAACTCACGGGCTTGGCCTATTTGCATATTGTACCCATAAGACCACACAGATTGGTTCAGCAATGGACACATGACCCCAGCTGCACCAATGAGGCTCGAATCTGAGACGTTTGCTGGGCCCACGGGAAGACTCAAAGCAGACAGCACCACAGGCCCTGGGAGCCAACGCCGCAGCAGGAGCAGCATGGCAGGCACAGTTCTGACATCTGCGACCGGCACTTTTTTTTTTATTATTTATTTATTATATAATAGTTTGTTTTTACATCATTTTGTACATTTTCTTTTTCATCTCAATTGTAATCCCCCTGGGTTTCCCCTCACCAAGTCACCCGTGTGCCATCACCACAGGTGGTGACTGGCACTTTTTTTTTTTTTTTTTGACTGGCACTTTTTAAAGTGGTTCTTGCATGCACAGGTTAAAGTGGTTTGGGTTAGATTTAGGTCACAGTTACCCTGAACATCCTCACCCTTGGTTTGAAAACTCTCTAGATACAGAACAGCCAGGCCTGCCCTGCTCCCACTGTGAATGAAATGAAAGCTCACCATCACCCTTCTGAGGGAGAGCTAGGGCCACTCTTACCTCGTCAGCTAGGAGAAACAGCTTCTCTTCCCAAGCAAAGTGAATCACATCTTCTATGCACTTTCTGCTTTGCACCTGACCTAAAAAAATAATAATAAATCACCAAACAAAACCAGAATATAAGTTGTAATGGTGTTTAAATATTCCCTAGGGGTCTCCCTGGTGGTTCAAAGAGTTAAGTCTCAGTAATATGAAGCTATCAGCAGCCACTGCAGCACAAGTTCAATCCCCCACCAGGGAGCTGACCCACATGGCACAGCAGACCTCTCCTGTCTCACCTGCTGCTCCCCTCAGCAGTGTATTTCAGTCAGTCTGCCTGCTCTGCTCCCCACTCTGTCTCTGGTGAATCCTCTCAACCCCTGCACCTCTGGCCTGTATCCTAGTTCTTGTATGCATAAAAAAGAAATCTTTAAAAAGAAAAAAAATAGTCCCGGCCCTCCCTGGTGGCGCAGCGGGTTAAAGCACAGCACTGAGAATCTGAAGCCACTTCCACATGAGTTCGATTCCCGCCTGCCGCCTGCCCCGGAGGAGACCACATGGCGAGCCAGACCTCTCCTGACCCGCCCGCTGCTCCCCTCAGCAGTGTACTTCGTCAATCTGCCTGTTCTGCTCCCCACTCTGTCTCTGGTGAAGCCTCTCACCGTCCCTGAGCCTCTGGCCTGTACCCCAGTTCTGTATGAATAAATAAATAAATCTTAAAAAAAAAAAAAAAAAAAAAAAAAAGTCCCTAGGTCTACCCAAAAGACACAAAAACACTGATTGAAAAAGATACCTGTACCCCCATGTTTATTGCTGCTTTATTTACAATTGGAAAAACATGGAAGCAGCCCAAATCCCAAAAGTGGATGACTGGATTAAAAAGATGTGGTATATATACACAATGGAATATTACTCAGCGATCAATAAAGAAACTCTGCCTTTTGCAGCAACATGGATGGAGCTGGAAGGGATCATGCTTAGTGAAATAAGCCAGAAAAGAAAAAGAAAAATATCAGATGGCTTCACTCATAGCAGGAGCATAAAGGACCAGGGGGAAAAATAATAATAATGAACAACTATATACTAGAGACATTTTATGGGGGGTGGAGTTTACAGGAAATGGAATAAAAAATGGTGGGGGGAGGGAAGTGCACTGGACTATGGTGATGGCACAGGGTGATTTGGTGATGGGAAACCCACAGGGATTACAACTGAGATGGAAAAAGGCACAAAATGATGTAAAAATAAGCTACTACAATTTTTTTTTTAATTCAAAAAGTATTCCGTAGGTAAGAACCCCACCCAGGTCACTCAGGGATGGCGGGATAGTCAATGGCCAGAGAGGCCTGTCTGGGGCAGGCCTCATCTACAAACAGCATGGCCAGGGACAGGCTGGAGGGCCCAGAACTGAAACTACCCACACATGGACAACTAGTTAGGACAAAGCAAAGAGCAGACACGGGAACAAGGGAAGCCTCTACAGAGGCTGGGAAATGACCACCATGGTCAAAAGAATGAAGCTAGACCACAACCTCACACCACACACAAAATCTTCTCAAAATGGGTAATAAACCTGAAGCCATAAAATACTTAGGAGGAAAAAACAGCCAGAGCGCTTCATGAGATAAACTTCAGAAATATCTGCAGATTCATTACTGGAAACAAGGAAAACAATTAGGACTACGTTAAACCACAAGCTTCTGCTCAGCAAGAGACAGTGACCAAAAGGAAGCGACACTGCTTCCTTTTGGGTGGAAGAAAGTATCTGCAGATTATTCACCTATCAAGTGGCCCACAGCCACATCGACAGAGAGCTGGTGCAACTCAACAGAAAGAAAACAAGTAAACCAATCCAAAAACCTGGCAGAGGTGCTAAACGGGCATTTCTGCAAAGCAGACAGACGGCCAACAGGCACGAGAGGAGATGTCCGTCATCACCTAGGGAGTTAGGCCAGGCCACAGGAGCTGCCACCCACGCGGTGGGGACGGCCCGTGCTGAGAACAGAAACTGCAAGTGTGTCAAGGACGTGTCCTACCCTGTCGGCAGAATGGAGACGGGCCCAGCCCCTGTGGAGAGCGGGGTGGGGGGTTCTCAAAACTACAAATATCTGCCATAGGACCCAGCTATTCCCCGTCTAGGTGATGACCCCAAAATACAAAAACATCCATTCAAAAGGAAATCTGCACCCCCATGTTTACAGCAGCACTGTTCACAACAGTCAAGGTATGCAGACAACCTAAATGCCCACATCGGTGTGTGGATCAAGAAGATGCCCATATACGCAATGGGACACTCTCAGTGACCTAGAGATAAACTCATGCCATTTGCAGCAACATGGTGGAGCTGGGAGGGCTGCTGCTAAGTGCAGTGAGCAAAAGAGATGAATACTGATGATCTGACTTAGATGTGAAATACAGAGAAAGCCAAAGCCAGGGTAAGACAAAGACAAACTTCAAACACCAACACTTGCAGCCATACCTCTGAATTGATACAGTGTTATAAATCAATGACACAATAAAAAGCAAATTTTAAAAAGGAAGGAAAAAACGGAAGGCATGAAATCTGTGGGCTCAGCTTCCCCCAGCGCCCCAGCAGGTAACTCGAGACCACTTAGCAGCGGGAGCCGCGTCTGTCCCAGGAGTAGGCCCACGGGGCTGCACAGCACCCCGCCAGGGCACTGCGCCCTTGGAGCCAGTGGCAGCAGACAGATGTGCAATAAATAGGTGCAGAACTAGCACCCCATGAAACAAGCAGCACGCCAGCCCTGGCACCCCAAAAGTGAGGCATGGGAGCCAGGCATCTCTGAAGATGCCCCTTCTGGGTCATGCAGTGAAGATGGGAAAGGAACAAATGTGGCCCATGGACAGTGGAACCTACTCCCGATATTTCGTAAGACCTATGTGGGCGTGGCCCTGGGATGCCTGGGGCTCTCCCATGCTATCTGCCAGGCAGGCTGGTCAATTCCTGACTAAAACAGGACATAGATGTATATCCCTGGATATTTAGTATATACCTCAGGGTGGGCGTGTCTCTGGGCACACATGCATTATTTATCTATATCTTGATGCAGAACAATATCTAGAGTATCTGTCAAAATTAAAAACATCTTGGCCTTCCCTAGTGGCTCAACGGGTTACACACAGCACTACAAAGCTATCCAGTTTGATCCAGGCCCTGGAGCTGACCCACATGGCGCGGCAGACCTCTCCTGACCCACAGCTGTTTACCTCAACAGTGTATTTCATTGATCGGCCTGTTCTGCTCCCCACTGTCTCTGGTGAATCCTCTCACTACCCCCTTGCCTCTGGCCTGTACCCCAGTTCTGTATGCATAAATAAATAAATCTTTAAAAATAAATAAAAACATCTCTTTTTTCAGTCTATGCAAGACTGTCAAAAATATGTCTGGAGAAACTATAAAGACGTTTCTTCTAAGAGCATGCTATGATTCAGCCAGGATTTCGGACTAGTACTCTACAAGGAACCTATTCCTGTACTAAGGGCTCAACTGTTCTCTCGTCAAGCAGCACCCACTGGACTTCGTATGAAGCAAGCTCAGGTTCTGGGGTTGTGAGAGGAGGGGAGTCCTGAGTCTGGAAGGAGCAGCCACTACCTCTCACATAGACAGGGGCCGGCTACCGGGAGGGGCTGCCGCAGACCCTCCTCCTCTTGCCCCGTCCACCCTGCCAGCCCCAAGCCGTCTGCTGTTAAATGCAGCAAAAATCTGAGCATCAAAATCTCAAAACCATGTTCACCTGGTGCCAGCAAGGAGTTTGAAACAAGCAAGGCCCTGGGCCTGAGAAAGCCTGCAGTTCAGTAGTGAAATGACCTCCACCATACACAAACAGCCCCAGTGAGTACATGCAAACTTGAGGACAAGAACAGAGCTTCCTCCTCCCCAGTGCCTGAGGACACGGCAGCCTGAAGACCTGTCTTGGAGTCCAGAAATGGATCAAGGGGACGACACACACCTTTAAACAACGACAGCCATTCACTTCACCACCTGGGCGTTACAGTTCTGTGCCCAGTCCCTTTACTCCTGAGCTGCATTTCTGTCTCGAAACCCAAACAGCCCTGGCTGGACGTCCCAGTCATGTTGGCACCTCTCAGCCAAAGTGTTTACTGTGTGTGGTCCAGACAAAATTCATGGTCATCACGGTGTGTTTCTATTTTCCAAACACCATTTCCCGTGAACTGACTTGAGTTTTACACATTAAGACCCCAGGGAGCAAACCAGCCAAGGTCGACTCATACCTTTTAAAAATAATTTACCCTCCATTCAGTCACATGGATCCTGTGACTGAAACAGGAAAGCCTCTAGCACAGTCATTTCTCCCCAGGTCCGAGGGAAAAACTTCTCAGCTCTCAAATGTAAACACCTGGTCAGGAATCGCTGATCGCTGATCTGAAGCAGGTGTCTGCAGAAAGGCGGAGGACTTGCACCCGCCAGTGTCATCCTGGGGTCAGGAGCATCAGCACCACCTGGGAGCTTGTTAGAACTGTAAATCCTGGAGCCCCATCCCAAACCAGCAAAATCTCCAGGAGTGGGTGTAGGGGTCCTGATCTTAACAAGCAAAAGCAGTGGTTCTCACACTCAGCTGCACAGAATTATTGCTGCCAGAGCCAGTGTCCCCAGAGATTCTGGGTGTGCTCTGACCGCTGGGATTTTTCAAAAGCTCCCTTTGTGACTCTAATGTGCAACCAGGACTGAGAACCCAGCTGTGCATCATTCCCTCCTGCATCATGGCTAGACTCGTTCATCCCCTCCCCCAAGAAGCTGGGTAAATAAATCAGGGTTTCAGCCAGATGCACCCATTTTCTGCACTCAGGAATTCAAGTGGTGCTTTCAGCTGATTAAAGCATCATTCGATGTTCCCAAGAAGCAGATTCCACAATTAACTCCAACGCATTTTGGCCCTGACCCAGTTTATCTCAACAAAGGAGGAGAGAGGAGCCTGTGTTCTCTGCATCCAAACAGCACCAGCAGTATAGGAAGCCAGCAGCCCAGAAAGTTCAGAACAAGGACTATTTAAAACCAAAAAAACAAAAAAAGATGCAAAATAAGAGTGCCTTATAACTTGTAGAAACAGGTTTTCGGGCTTTGTTTGCTTTTGTTTTTATACAGCATTTCCTTCTCAGCTCTCAAATGTACACAGCAATGTCATGTCAAAGCAAACCAGAAACACACACATCAGCATCCTGAAATTGGTTCAGAAAAACAAGGAGCCTGTCTCAAACAAGAAGCCAGGGATTACTGGTGACAGTTTGTGTGAGTGACCTCAAGGAGGAGATTCTTTGTCAATGCAAGAACAAGAAAAAACTGGTCTTTGAACAATGCAGCCCTGCCCAACAGAATGCCTGCATTTGCTCACCAGCCAAGGTGGCCGGAGGCAAATTTAATAGCTTTGTTACCAAATCTGGAATTGGATTGAGAAACTGGGAACAAAGTGAGGGCTTTGCATTACTTCTTAACTTGTTAGTGTCTAGACATGCATCGAATCCGCTGCCGCACCCCAAAAAATTAGCAAGGAAGTGAAATGCAAACCTGTGGGGTTTCCGGGGTTGATGATACACAGCACCTTGGGGTCACAGTGCTCTTTGGCCTCCCGCAATGCTCTCCGGAGCTCGTTCACATTCAAAGCCCAGCAGTTGTCCTCGTCCAGGTAATAGTTCACCTGGATGGCGTTGAGCTCAGAGATGACAGCTGAGTACAGGGGGTACTGCGGGATGGGGATCATTACCCCTGTCCTCGACTTGCCACGCCCAGAAACCAGGATTTTCAGGATTGTCTGCAACAGAGAAGTCACATCTACAGTGTCAGGTCGAAGCCCCTCCCTTGAGGGCTGACTCCAGCCTGTCTCCAGCCACCCCACAGCCTGCCTCCAAGTGGCTGCACTTCCTCCCAGGCTCACTCTCCTCATCTATGAAATGGTATCGGCTGTGACGAATGAGCAACATAAAATGTTTTAAAGTTCTTACCACAGTCCTCGGCATGTAAAGATTCAATGCTTTCTAAAGAGAGCTGAAGCAGTGGCCTGAAAACTGGCTCTTTCTCAAAATTAGTCTGACTTCACCCCTGAAACTCATTTCAAATGGCTAGGGTGGGACTCAGGGTTCTGGTCAGAAATTACCTGTACCCTGGACTGGGAAGACCCCTAAACAAGGGAGCGTTGTTGAAATGGGAGAAATACCACCCACTACCACCAGGGGCACCGCCACCTGTTTCCAAAGCCGGGTGGGCCAGGCAGGAGCCCTGGGAGAACTGGAGGAGGTGGCACTCACTGAATTAATACAACAAGCCCTCTGCTTGCAGAGTCCCGCCTTACGCAAGGCCGAGCACCTTTCTCAGATTCAGTTCCTTGCAACAAGAATGCAAGGAAAAAGCTCAACCACTCCATTCTTTTCACCAAGACGACATCTCCCAGCTCCTGCAGGACCTCTGCCTGCCCGGGGCCTCTCCAGGCCTTGATAGAGGCCTTGAAAGCAGAACGCAGGACAGTCTGACAGCAGATCACGTAAGAGGTGCTGCGGCTTCAAGCTGGAGCCTCAACACCGGCACAAACACCACCGAAGCCAACTCAGCGCGGGCAGGCCACTTGCTGTCTCTGGCTGTTCTCATGGGTGCCCACCAGAATTAATGCATTTGAAAGGCTTTCAAAAGGACCGAAGCACTCAGCAGCTACGAAAACAGCAGCCTTGGAGGGCAGGAGACACAGATAGCCCAAGAGAGTAGGAACCATAGCACGGGCGCTGTGCAGGTGCTGTGCAGAGCCCAGCCGCCCAGGAAAGAGCACCAGCCAGAGTGCTGAGGCAGAGGCCACAATGCCCGCAAGCCCGATTCCAGGCCCGCCAGGTGCCCTTGCCCCTGTGCCTTCTCCCCACACCCACAGCGGCGCCCCTGCCCACATCACCTCCCTCACTGCCAAAGTTAAAACTGAACCTAAGCCACACCCTGCAGAGGCTCCCTCTTTCTCTCTGGCCAGCCACCCAGTCCTCATTGCGGCCTCTGAGGCCCCTCTGCTGCCCCAGCCCGTTTCTGGTAACTGCCTCTCACCGCTGATTAGCAGGAGCAGCAGCGTGTGAATGGAGCCCCAATGTGTCTGGCTCCCACAGCCCCTAGGGAGTGCCCGGGGCAGAAGCCACACTGTAGTGCTGAGAAAGGCCAATGCCATCAGAAAGGGGATACCCTCCTGTGACCCGTGAGCCTGGCTGGCTAGGCCTACTGGAGGGAAACTGAGGCACGGACACTCGGGGCCGCCCCTCTGGCGGCCCCTCTCCACGCCCCAAGCCTGTCTCCCCATGAACAGGATGCTGGGCCCTAACACGCCAGGCTGGGCTTCAGCAGGACGAACGCAGGGTAAGGATGGGCCGTGCACGTACCGTAATTCCGTCGCTGGCTCCAGTGGTCAGGTAAATGTTGTCCGGGTCTGCAGGCACGCCATCTCTCCTGGTGACATAGGCAGCCACGTCCTCTCGGATGCAGTTGACGCCCTGGCTAGCACTGTAAGCTCCTGTAAGAGAGCCAGGATGACAGTGACCACAGGCACAAGGTCTGGCTCACGCTGGAGACACCCCTGTCACTTACTGGAAGAGCCTGCGAGGTCTCAGATAGGACAGGAACCCCCACTACTCCAGGCTTAGCCTTCCATCTGGGCACCGTCTGCCCACCCTCTCATCTACCCACCCACTTACTCACCCCCTCGCTCATCCATGCAGCCGTGTGCCCACCATCTGCCCATCTGGGCGCGCCCACCCTCTAGGTGTCAAGCAGTACTCTGGGCTCTGGCTTCTACTCGGTCATATGGGGCACATTCCCAAGGCACCTACTCTGGGAGTGTGTATGTTCTGCAGTGTAATCACAGCTGGCTAAGTCACCACTGCCTACATGGCTCCAGAGAACTGCAGAGACTGCAGAGACCCCAAGTGGTACCACTTGTCAGGCTAGGAGTCCCCGACCAGCACTAACCAGACCCCTGGGGCTACTGGGCATGACCCCTCCTCCTACCACCCAAGACAGTAATGTCGTCAGACTGCCATTTAGGACTGTAACCCAGACCTTGTTACAATGAAGTTCAAAGACAGGGAAAGCTAAGGTACTGGAAGCTAGGACAGTGGTGACCACTCTGAGGTGGAAGTATTGAGTACAGAGGAACAGAAGAGCCTTCTGGGTGCTGGGAAGGTTCAATGCCTTGACGTGGGTGAGGCTGTGACAAGTGTGTACATGTGCAAAGATTATTCAAGTTGTACATAAATATTTATGTATCCCACTGCATGTCTGTATACCTCAAGAAATTATTTTTTTCTTTAAAGATGTATTTATTTGTGCATACAGAACTGGGGTACAGGCCAGAGGTGCAGAAGATGAGAGGATTCACAGCGACAGAGTGGGGAGCAGGACAGGCAGACTTATGAAGTACACTGCTGAGGGGAGCAGTGGGCGGGTCAGGAGAGGTCTGCTGGGCCACGTGGGGTCAGCTCCCTGGATGGGGATCAAACTCACAATGATGCGGCTGCGGCCAGCTTCTCAGTGCTACACCTTAAGCTGCTGCACCACCAGGGAGGGCCCAGAAACTCTTTTTTTCTAATGCCAGGGCACAACTTGTGTTTTTATAAAAAATTGGAAATATGTCCTGTACATTCCTAAAATCCCTCTTGGAGAAGACAAACTGGTGAGGTGACTTCTTGGCAGAAGTGAGCCAGGAGGCCGGGGCCAGAGTTGGGAGGGAGAATTTTCACCCTATACCATTGTAATCTTGCATCGCATCTAAAGAAAACCAGCCTACTCTTACCCAGGTTATTGCCAAACCAACTTTAGCAGACATGCTGGGTTCTGGAAAGCAGCCGACTCTTCTCAGGGCCTCCGAGCGCAGCAGTCCAGGACAACAGTCCAAGGTACTAGGTTTACGGTGCTGACTGAAAAGGCAGCTGCCAGCCTCGGCCTCAGCCTCTCCGTGCAGCACTAGCCTCACCCTGTGACCAACTATAAAATGGGGGCCCTCAGGCTAGCTCAGTTTTTTTTGTTTGTTTTTTTAAGATTTATTTATTTATGCATACAGAACTGGGGTACAGGCCAGAGGTGCAGGGGCAGTGAGAAGCTTCATCAGAGACAGAGTGGGGAGCAGAACAGGCAGATCGATGAAGTACACTGCTGAGGGGAGCAGCGGGCAGGTCAGGAGAGGTCCACCACGCCATGTGGTCACCTCCGGGGCAGGCGGGAATCGAACTCATGCTGCAGTGGCTTTCGCTTCTCAGTGCTGTGCTTTAACCCGCTGCGCCACCAGGAGGGCCGCTAGCTCAGTTTTTTAAGGCTCAAGTAACTAACACTAATGGATCAAGTTGGACATTGTACAATGCTTGAAATAGTTTGTAAATTAAAAAGGTATGAGGTACAGGGCCCTCACTGGTGGCGCAGCAGTTAGGACACAACACTGCAAGCTGGCCACAGCTGCTTCAGTGAGAATTTGATCCCCACCCCAGAGGTGACCCACATGGTGTAGCAGATCTCTCCTGTCTCACCCGCTGTTCCCTCAGCAGTGTACTTCATCAGTCAGCCTGTCCTGCTCCCCACTGTCTGGTGAATCCTCTCACTGCCCCTGTACCTCTGGCCTGTACCCCAGTTCCGTATGCATAAGTAAATGAATCTTTAAAAAAAAAAAAAAGTTATGCGGTACAAATGGTTTAACACATTCCCTCCCCCACTTACTTCACATTACTGAGCCCCTGTACTCACTTTCTTGCACCCAATATTTCCCTCTGCTGCTGCCCATGTCCTTTCCTCCACCCCACTCCACCAGCCCAGCCTCCTCTCCCTACTCCAAGCTCACCAGCTGCCTGAGATTCCCAGGCCTTCACCGGCTGGCGGCCTCCCTTCTGCTGCGCCCACAGACTTCCCACCCTTTTCCTTCAGGTTCCATGTGTGCTTCAAAGCAGACTGTCCTCAAAGCCTTACTCCACCCTGCACGGCCAAATACCTGCTGGCCAGCCTGTCTCCACAGCCCACAGACCAGCACGACCCTCCTGCTGAACACCAGCCTAGTGTTTATTACCACACCAAGCCCTTCGCTCGCTTCCTAAACTCAGGGCCTCCACACACATTGCTTCTTCCATCTGGCAGGTGTTTGCAGGGTCTTGCTTAAAGGGCCTTTTCTTAAACCCACCACTTTCTGCTCTTTTTCCAAGAACTAATGAAAACTAGGGCATGGTTTAGCATGACTTCTTTGTAATACGTTTCTTTAAAAAAAAAAAAAAAAAGATTTACTTATTGCAAGAACTGGGGTACAGGCCAGAGGTGCAGGGGACAAGAGGATTACCCAGAGACAGAGTGGGGAGCAGAACAGGTAGGTAGAGTGACAAGTACACTGCTGAGGGAGCAGTGGGAGCGACGAGAGGTCTGCTGTGCCATGTGAGTCACGTCCCTGGCTGGGGACCCAACTCGTGCTGCAGTGGCTGTGGAGCGCCTCATAGTGCTGCGCTTTAACCTGTTGCACCACCAGGGAGGGTCCAGTTTTTGGTAATGTTTCTCCCAAATCTGACGTGTGCTTCATGAGCACAGGTGCCCTCCGGCTCGCTCACCAGTGCCTTTCCGCACCAGACAGCAGCTCAGGGAGGCACTGGAAGTGAGCCCCTAGATTTCTCCATCTCCCTTTTCCCCTAGGGCAAGTCTAGAGTTCACCTCAACATCCTACTCAAGGTCTAGAACACAGTGTGAGAACCCAATCACTCATCAAACAGAATAAACGAGGTTTTAGTTAGAAAGCATTTGAAAGGGCATGATGGGACTGTGTCCAGGGAGCTCAAAGCTCTCAAGGACATTTTTATTAACCTCCCTTGGGTCAGGGTCATCCTGGAGCACAGGCACATTTTCCATTTCCTTACTTCCCTGCTGGGTAGCTCCCAGCTGCCCCAGGCTCAGCTGTGAAAAAGCACCATACCACCCCTCACATGCAGGGCCTGGTCATGACCCCCGCAGACGGGGCTTCTCCACAGCTGACAAGAGACTTTGGCAAAGTGTGGCCCTCCCTGGCAAACCCAGGTGAGTACAGAGTACTTCTACTGCCAGGATGGAGGGAGCTCAGAGGCCTCACAAACTCCTCAGAGAGAACTCGAGGCAGCGACTCTGGCCCAAGTGTTCTCTTGCTACACTACCGGAAGAAAGTACTGGCAGGGACAATGGCCTCCCAGCCCCATCCCCAGCCCTAGCTGACACAGAGTTGCAAAATCCTGTTGATTAAGCTTCCTAAGCAGAACAAAGACTCCCTGACTCCCTCCCCCTCCTCCAGACATTCACATCAGACACACAGCAAGCCAACACCCCCTCCGCCTCCTGGTTGTGGCTTCCCAGAGTCTCAGGCCCACTGCCCGAGTTATCTGAGAAGCCCATTGTCCTCTGGGCTGCACTGTGGGTGCAGGAGGAATGGGTGCTTGGAAGCCAGGCCTCCAGCCAGTCGGCTGCTCTTGCCACAGAAGGTGCTGACACTCCACCCAGGCTGATGGGCGGGAAAGCGAGGGCCGGTAGCCCACCCAGTGAGGACACCAGAAGAACCGTTGTCCAGCGTGGACGGGCCTGGCTGGGTGGCCACAGCCAGAAAGTTTAGCTGAGGGCTCCAGCTGATGGGCAGAGCCGAGAAAGGGGAGGAGAGAGGAGGGAGATGACAGGGTGGCTGAGGGTGTCCGATCCCCTCCTGAGGAAACCATGGGACTCCCTGTCCTATGAGCTAAAACATTCAGGCACATATCCTAAAAATGCAGTAAGAACAACCAATTTCCTCAGGGCAAAGGAAGCTGGACTCCCTAAGCAGGCACTGGGTGAATGAATGGGGCAAAAATAAATAGAAAAAGATGAGAGCAATAAGCCAGAGGCCCAGAGGATGACAGCCGACCTCCTGCAGGGAAGGAGAGAGAATATTATTTTCGTGTCTAAAGAGACCAAATTCCAGGCCCATGGAGCCTTGGTGCTCAGAGAGCTCCCCAAGGAAGCGACTGGGTCTGGGCCCCAGCAGCGAGGAGCAGAGGCATGGTGCTGGGAGACAATGAAAGGGGAGCCCTGATGGTCTGAGTGAGGCCACCAGGGGGCCAGAGCACCCTGCAGCACTTCCTTCCCCCACGGCTGGCTGCAACCCCGTGTGCCATGTGTCCATAGCTGGGGGGCCACTGAGGGGCAGGGTGCCGAGCATCTGGCCTCCTGCTCCCACGAGGACGTCCCCTGACCCTGCCGCTCAGCTGTGGAAGTGGCTGTGGGTGTAAAACCAAAACGGAGCCCCAGGGCCCCACGGGCTGGCCTGCTGGGTGGGTGCACCAGAGGCTAACACGGTGCGGGCAGAGGCAGGAGATGACGTTATATTTACCCTGCACAGCAGCCGCCCACACGCGCACGCTCACTCCCACTCGCAGGCACAGCCTCCCGCAGGTGCGCCAGGCCCACACTGGCACACGAGTTCACTTCTCACCCCCAGAACCGGCCAAGTCAGGGCCTCACCCAGGCTGTTCCCGCCACAAGCCTGCAGGATCCGCCGTGCTCTCTTCTTAGCATCTTCTGGGAAGCTGGGACTGTCCAACAGGTTTGGGTACGTGCAGAGTGCCATCACCTGGGGGAACAGAGGTGTGGCTGGGCTCCTGGGACCCTCTACCCCGGAGCCCCATCGAGGACACTAGGCAGGCGACAACTCAGAACGGGCCTCCAAGAGGACTGGAAGCAAGTGGGGGGGCACTGGGTAGTCTACAGTGAAGGGGAGGGGGTGAGAGGGGTGCTCCACGACCCACACTTGGGGCCCAGGGTGGCTGTCAGGAGGAGGCCGCTCAGGCAGTGGCCCCAATTCACCCATAAAGGATAGCAGATGCCCAAGGCCATGGACTGAGCAGGTGGGCAAACCCAGGAGACAGGAGCGGGCCTTAGAGACCCCTCAGCTCCCTGCCAACGCCCTCCAGCCCCTCCCTCACCGCCTCCCCCTCTCCTGGATATAACTGAAAATCAGGTTGGCTTTCTTGTTTCTGTAACAAAGAAAATCACTCTAACCTCATAAATTAATAAGATTAAACAAGGAAATATTTGCAAAAGTGCCAGTAGACCGCAGCTCACCGGGCAAGTCTAAGCCGGCAGCCCAGGAGCCCTGCCAGGAGCACGGAGGGAGCTGGGCTCACAACGTCGTGGACACCAGCAGCCGACTTCGGTGGGCACACGTGGGCAGTGGGCAGTGACCTGGCCTGCCCTCCTCCCGGGGTATTTGTGAAGGTCAGAGGAGGCAGTGAGGGCTGGAGGAATCTGGCACGGGTAGGTGAGGCTGGGGCATACCCAGAGCTCCAGCATTCACAGGACCTCTGCCAGGGGTGGCCCTCTGCCTCTCCCCTCCCCTAAGCTGGGCACTCCAGGAGAACTTCCAGGGCAACCCAAGCCCGCTGGCCACCACCCACCTCCACTCCTCTAGCAGAGCTGACTTACACAGTCTCCTCCTTCTCTGCTTACAACGATCCATTTTCCCATCCTGGGCCCAACTTGGGGTGTCAGACAATCATGGGGGTCTAGCAGGCTACTGAGTTCAGCAGCAGTGGCCACAGGAGGGAGTAACTATGAACGTACCATGGGCTATGGTCCATCATAGCCTGTGCTATGGTCCATCATAGCCTGTGCGAACTCCCTGTGGGCTACCTACCCTCTCTGCACCATTCCCTGCAGCAGGAGACAGGACAAGGCAAAGGACGCTGGGGAGTTCAGTGTTCCCCGACCCAACTTCTGGCCCTTAGCCATTCAAGGTCCCCATTTTTCTCCAAAGCGTTTCCCTGTCCTGCTTCCCAAGGACGCTTTCATGCAGCCCGTGTGCGGCCTCTGTTCAGGCACCCTTCCCCTCCAGCCCACCAATCCCACATTCCAGCCCATGTTGCATCCCTGTGGTTGGTGCTCGAACCCCAGCACTGAAAGCAGTGTCCAGCTGAGTGACTGAGGGGCAGCAGGGAGAACGCAGCTGAAGCTGGTCTCCACCAGCCCACTCTGGCTGTTCCGGGAGGCCCTGACACCCCTCACCTTCCTGGGGCCCCCCAGAGTCCCCAAGGCAGTGCTCTGGTGCCCACTGGTCCACAGCCACCCAGCCAGCGGGTGAGTGGCAGAGCCCATACTCAAATGGGGGCATCCCCTCAAGAAGCCGCCTCTGCGGCCTCCACACTTCCCCCACCACCCACGCTCCAGGCTCAGTATCAGGCTGCACACACAGAGGAGCAGCCCTGGAAGGAGCTTCGCTTATTCTTCACTAGAGTAACCCCAGAGCCGGCCTATGGACTGTAGGCAACCTTGGAGGGGGAGGCGGCAGGGGAGAGAACCAGGGGACACCGGGTACTGGAGGGGCTGTCGCCACGCCTGCCTGTGCGATTCTGGGGCCTGCTGTGTCCTGAGGGAGCTGGATAGGCCAGGAGGTGGGGTGAGAGAAGCGTCCTGTCACACCATGCCGTTCCCGCTTACCCTGTGCTCCAAGAGTCAGCTCACCTGTCGGAGGAAGGTGATTGGCTGCTGCCCCATGGCATGCGCGTCCCCAATGTTGGCACGGATGACCTCAGTGAATGGTTTTTTGATACCCTGAGCAGAGAGAAGGCAACAGGTGGTGACTTCGAGGCTGGATTCCACAGACAGTGCTCCCACAGACTATAATAAGCAGCCCTATTTTGAGCCTTACCAGGTGTCCAGCATAATGGGCATAGGAGCCCACTGGCCTGGTCCCACAGGCCTGGTGTGGGGGAGGGAGGGTCAGCACAGAGCTCTCAAATGTCAGGTGGAGGATCCCATAGCTCTCAGGCTCCCTGCCCCCAGGCAGCTCCACCCCCACAGCCTAAACAAATAGTGGGGCAGCCTTCCTCTTCTAGAGGGTCCTGATCAGCAGGGTCTCTCAGTCAAGTCATTTCCTGGCAAGCTTGGCTTTGCAGAATGCAGAATGTGGAGTGATTTTTTTTACATTTTTTTTTAAATATTTATTTATTCATACAGAACTGGGGCACAGGCCAGAGATGCGGAGGGCGAGAGGATTCACCAGAGACAGAGTGGGGAGCAGAACAGGCAGATCTACGAAGTACACTGCTGAGGGGAGCAGCGGGCGGGTCAGGAGAGGTCTGCCACGCCATGTGGTCACCTCCGGGGCAGGCGGGGATCGAACTCATGTGGAAGTGGCTTTGACTTCTTTAGTGCTGTGCTTTAACCCGCTGCGCCACCAGGGAGGGCCTTTTTTTACATTTTTAAAGAAAAGGACCAGGGCTGAAATCTGGCTAAAAAGCAAAACAGGAGCTACTGTGTGAGCAATGCATTTAACACAGAAAAAAGATGAGTCCCCAACCTCCCCCAAGAAGTGACTAAATGATACACTTCTAGAAAGGAGGAAATGTAGTTCAGATGGAGGACTCAGGGCCCTGGGACCATGGAACTCCACACAGCTCCCTGATAAGCTTAGAACTCGCCACTGGGCGAGTTAGACTAGCGGCAGGCTCCAGGGCTTCCCAGGGCAGCTAACAGGATTATCGGAGTCAAGCACTATGAAAGCTCTTGGCAGCGTGCAAATATCATCTTACAAAGCTGGACAGGACCCAGGTCTCAAGGGTCACAGTGGAGGAAGAAGGCGGCAGGTGAGAGGTGGCAGTGAGTGTGGAGGGGGGGGGTGTGTGTGGGGGGGGGTGCACCTGGGACGCGGTCGCCTTCCTGCCTACCACAGTCCTTCCCCCAAACAAACCCCAGATACAAATTTTGAAGGTGTAATGTTTTGGTTTGGACCCTTGTCTTTTTCTCCATTTCATGCAATGTATGTGCATGAAGTGAACTTTAGAAGACTTTCCTCATAAAATCAACTTAAGTAAAAACCGGTGGGCTTAAGGGATGAAAGCAGCTGTGAAGCAGTACTCCTCACTTGCACCCCAAGCTCCTCCCATGCAGATATTCTCCAGCTGCTTCTGGCTCAAGGAGGCTTCCTAGGGGCTGTGGAAGGCACGCCAGAAATGGCCCTGCACCTGAATAAACAGGGCGTGAAGAGCCTCCAAAAGCTGTTCAGGGGACAGGGGAGGTTGAGAGTATTAGCTTTTTAATTCCCTGTAACCCCTCTATCCAGTTCTTCAGGGCTGGTCAATATGAGAAACAACCCAAGTGTCTGAGTACCAAGCGGGGGCATGGTGGCTCTCTGTTGCTAGGCTAGGCCAAAGTGAGGGTGCACAGCCTGGAGACAGGCTTGGGGCACACGGCCTCCAGGCGCACCCCACAAGCAGGAGCCAAGAAGGCTGGGAGTGGGGGAGGGACCTGTGTGCACAGGGGCGGGCTGACCCACACTGTGTGCACAGGGGCGGGCTGGACCCACCCGTTGGCACTGGCCTGGGCTCCTGGCAAGAAGCCACCTGTCAGCCTGACTGAACTGCCAGATTGCCCAGGCCTGGCCAGCTGAGCTCAGGTGATTCCACGGTGTGGGCACAGTCCATTCCTGATAGGAAGCAACACCCAGTGGCAGGCCCCGGGCCAGCCCACTGCCGGGAGCGGGTAGCGCCTGGAGCGGGGCCCTGACGTTCTTTCCCATGCCCCCACACTGCTCGACCAATTCAGTGCCTGCCACGAGTCTGGGAACATGCCGCATCTTTTTTCTTGAGTCTGGGGAGACCCTGGACACAGCTATGATAGATGAGCTGGGGGTAGGAAACTGGCCTCCCTGAATGGGCACACAGGCCAGCCTCCCCAGCCCAGGGCGGCCACAGAGAGGAGACAGCTCTGGGCAGACTTGAAGTCTCCCGGGTTGGGAAAGACCAAGAGGCTGGAGGGTAGAATCCTGGCACAGTGACTCATACAGGCCTGGCAGGCACACCCAAGGGTGACTTGGCCTCACCCAGCCCCCAGGGGCCAGCCAGGTAGCACAAAGTGTCCCAGGTTCCCTCTCACAGCATCCAAGACCCCCCTTGTCTAATACCCCTGGACAATCCTGCCTACAGCTGCCTCCCTGTGGGGCACTGACAGAAGGTCCTACCCTGAGGTGCTCCCTTCCCACCATTCAGCTCAAGGAGAGACCAGGGAGTAGCCCCCAACTCTGGGGATGCCATACTCAAGAGCCTGCTCACAGGCCCACAATCACTGGGAGTGTCAAGGTGAGACTCTGATACACCTGATGCTAACAGGCACAAGCAGTTCCTCAAGTGGGACGGCTCCCATCAATGGAGGTGACACGTGGGCAGGAGGGCTTCATAGGGGTCACCCCACGGGCCTCCCTCTCAGTCCACAAATACAGCAGGTCCTCAAACAATGTCATTTTGTTATAATATGGATAAGAAGAAACCATCCTGGCCAGCAATGAAAGGATGTTACTGCGAACTTGTTTTTATCATATGCTGCTTTCTTAAAGTCACATGCTAAGACCCTGTCAATGATGTTGCATGAACGCTTTCTGTGTTCACGGATCACTCAGGCTCCTCACAAGAGGGAGAGGCAGGGAGACCACCAGCCATCAGTGCGCAGGCTGCTGAGGGATTACTTGGGGACTCAGGGAAGGGAGCAGAGGGGCACCCCCTGGGCCAGGAGCACCCTGTGAACAGACCCCAAAGACCCAGACAGGATGGGGCAGGCAGGAAGTCACACAAAGCTCCAGAAGGGGGCCTCAGAGACAAACACCAGCTAGACCCAACAGATGAGTAAACTGAGGCTCAGCGTGGATTTGGCCCCAACTCTTCTGGAAAGACAAGCTCAACACACCCAAAAGCAGGGATTAAGCTGAATGAGCCCCAACATGATAATTCACAACAACAAGGTAACGCCCAGTCAGAAGAGAGTGAGACCCTGAGCAGGTTCAGACTCAGAACTCAGAAGGAAGCAAGGATCAGGGCGCCTGAGAGGTCTCCCTGAGCCACGCTCCTTGGCTTAAGAACAAAGACTCAGGCCATCTGATGGGCTTCAAGTTCAGAGCATTGGCAATAACATCTCAAACTAGTGTTGACCCAGTTTGGGTCAAATGACCCAGTTTGGAAGAACAAACTAAGACCAAAGTGGTCTAAATGACTTGTCCGAGGCCCAGGGCACTGGAAAACAAACTCCAGGACCTAAGTCCAGGGTGGCTGTGCAGAGTTAGTCCCACTAAAAGTCTACACTAGAAATGTGTTAACTTTTTTTTTTTAAGGTTTACTTGTGCATATAGAACTGGGGCACAGGAAGAGATGCGGGGGGGGGGGGGGGGGTAGATGGATTTACCAGAGACAGAATGGGGAGCAGAACAGGCAGATGGACTGAAATATGCTGCTGAGGGAGCAGCGGGCAGGTCAGGAGAGGTCTGCTGCGCCCTGGCCAGGGATCGAACTTGCAGTGAAGTGGCCGCAGCTAGCTTTGTAATGCTGTGCTTTAACCTGTTGCGCCACCAGCAAGGGCCCAGAAAGATATTGACTGTTGACCCTTCTTGGTGGCACAATGAGCTAAAGAACAGCACTACAAAGCTAGCCCTGGCCACATCAGTGTTGAGTTCCATCCCCGGCCAAGGAGCTTACCCCATGGCACAGCAGACCGTCCCCGTCTCGCCCGCTGCTCCCCTCAGCAGTGTACTTCATTGGTCTGCCTATTTTTTTTTTTAAGATTTACTTATTTATTCACACAAAACTGGGGTACAGGCCAGAGGTGCAGGGGCAGTGAGAGGATTCACCAGAGACAGAGTGGGGAGCAGAACAGGCAGATAGACTGAAATACACTCTGAGGGGAGCACCAGGTAGGTCAGGAGAGGTGTGCCCTGCCATGTGGGTCACCTCCCTGGTCAGGGATCAAACTCATGCTACTGTGGCTGTAGACAGCTTCTTAACCCATGGTACAACCAGGGAGGCCCATAAATAAGTCTTTTAAAAAAAATGTGTTGACTTTAGAGTAGCATCAAAACAAGCAGAAATACCAATCAGGTCTGCCCAATGGTGCTTAGCACTTCCAGTGTTTCCAGTCCAGTTCCTGAGCTACAGCAGCTGCACTATAGCACCCTGACCCCACCCCCACCCCCACCCCCACTCCTTGAGTTGCTTGAATGCAACTCACACTGAGTTAACTGTAGTGATCCATTTCCTTCTCCATTTCCTAATGTTTTGTCCCAAACGTTTGTTCCTTTACAACTAGAAGTCAAGCCATTCTTGTCTCTACTTATGCAAATTCCTCCCCTCCCCCAATAAACTGAGGGGAAAAGTAGGTTGAGGAAGAACTGGCAGATCTTTCCAAACTCCTAGTAACTGCAGCTTATTTTTAAGTACTGCTCCCAATGATAACCAGAATCGGAAGCCCTAAGAGAGGTTCTCCCTTTGCAGCTTCTGCTGGGGATTAGCAGCCTCCCTCGCAGCACACAGACCAGAGGAGATGGCCCTCCACACCCACTCAGCTCACCTCTCCTCTCTCCCAGACAGGCACCCCCAAGTCACATGCCAGAGCCACTGGTCTAGCCAAACAGCCAACACCTAGGGCACCTGGTGAGCCGATTCCAAGTGGCAAGATGAGGTGTAAAATGCAGGCAGGGAGGAGCCCCCAACCCACCAGAACATGTCTCTTTTCACACCAAAGCCCTTAGAGAATAAGTGATTCACCCCAAGTCACTCTATTCTCTGCTCATGCTTGCTCATGTCATCTCTAACCAAAGCAAAACAGAGGTAGCAAAACCGAAGCTGTGAAAGCCAAATCAAGCCAAAAAGAAAAGAAATGTCTGGGGCAGACGGCTCTCAGAAGGAGCACTGTTTAAGCAGGTGGACCGCGGCTGGCTGCCAAGCGGATATTGTTTAGGGGGCTGTGATGGCCGAGTGGGGCTATGTTTGCAGCACCTGGAGTCAGGCAACTCAAAATCAGAAGAGAACCAAGTGAAAGAGCTTGACCCAAAGTACGGGGAAAAGAAGGTGTACAGAAAGGACAATCCCACTAACTCAAGGGCACGATGCAGGGGTGGGGGGCATCTTCCCAGAAACAACAAGGTGCCTCTGGCCCAACTGACCAAGAACTCTGTCCACTGCAAGTATCACATCACACCCTGCTGGAAACCCCTCCTGATTTCCCACTTTCCACCAAAACTCGGCATCACAAAGCCCTGAGCTGGCACACAAGGCTTCAGCCCACCTTTTGCCTCGTTCATCTCCCACATCCCTCTGCCGCCAGTGTTCTCCAAACTGCACCCACCTTTTCCCTGAATGTCCAGAACTTCTGTCCTTGCTCACAGCCCTGCTCCCATGTGGAAGGCTGTCACATTTTCTTTACATGTTAAAAAAAAAACAAAAACAAAACCCACCAACCCTAAAGAACTGGGGGAGGAGAGCTTCAGGCCCAGGGAACAATCAGGCAGTCAGTTCCCTGAAGGCAAAAACAATGTTCTAACAGGAAAGTCCCAACCACTTGTTGGAGGTAATGCCCAAGTTGTCGTTTAGTAAAAGGTAGCAGTAACCCCGATATCCTCGCCAGCTCTGGAACCAGAGAAATCACTGTAAAGTGATAAACCAGGAAAAATCTCATCATGGCTTTGGTTAAACAGGGTGACTTATCTCCTGGAGGGTCAACTCCAATTTCCCAGCAAGAAACAAGGACAGAGCAGAAAAAACCGTATTCTCTGCCCCTGGCCCACCTCAGGCCAGGGAGGCACTGAAGCTGAGCCAGCCTTCAGCAGGCCAAGATTTAAGCTTAGCCCTACAAGGAGTCAGAGGGAGACATTGGACTCTGACTTGTCAGCTCACTGTGTTGAGTCAGCAGAACTGGGTGTCCCAGTGAGGTCTTGGCCCACTATGAGACACCAAACCCCCGAAGTCCCTCAGGGAACAAGGGTGAAGTGTTCTAGTCCCACCACTGCTTCCTCTTAAGATTTAAAGGACACTAACCACCAGCTTGCCCCAGGAGGCTCCAAGACCAACCACTGCCATCCTGGGTTAGAAATGCCTCAACCAAACAGCTAGCTGACTATTCCACTGGTACCGAACACATCCTTGGAGCCTTTACTCCTGCAGACACTGCCTGAGATTCAGCCAGGTGAGAGCTCTAGTATCCTAACAGGGGCATCTTGTACACCCAAGACAGCCACTGTGGTGGGTGGTGACAGAAATCACTCTCACCTGGCTGGTGTGTGGTCACTTCACAGGCAGCTATCAACTCAAGCCTGGATTCCACTCCGCACATCATCAGGCAAAGAAAGTCCCAGAGCCACCCCACCAAAGCTGGCTACCCACGAGAGATGGCTGTGTTCCTGGCTAACAACCGAAGGACCTGGGGCAGTCAGTCAGGTTTCCAGAGGAGATGGAAAGGAAGGAATTCTGCAGGATGCTTCTCCACACCCTTTGGGCAGAAACCTGCTCTCCTCACCTCTTCCTCCCTCCCTCCCTCCCTCCCAAGCGCTCCCCCCACCATCCCACCCAGCAGTCTCAGTGCGCTGTCCTGCCCCTTACTTTTCCACAAAGCACTCAGGATCCGAAAGTCTTAATGTCCGTTTTTCTACTGCCTGGCCCTCGCTTCCGCGTGGGTAGGAGGACCCACACATACGTGCACTGGCTGCTCAATTGTCATTCAGTTCAACAAGTGAACAGTGTCTGAGACCTTTATTAAAGCAAGTGCTGGGTACGAGTGGGTGAAGGGAAGAGGGAACTAGAGGCATCCTCTTGTCTCACACAAGTCTGGGGAATGAAAGAGGGCTGGTCGCGGCGCAAAGTCCGGCGAGCCGATCCCAGCAGGGACAGCGGCTGTCCACCACCCCCCACAAACCCCTCCTGAGCACCCCCGGCCGCCCGAGCCCGCGCTCACCCTCCGGAGCTCCATCTCGATCTCGCCTGCCTTGAGCACGATGGGCCCCCGCACCGCGTACTCCACCGCCTTCACCTGCGGGTTCATGGACTCCAGCGTCAGGATGCGTCCGCGCGGGCTCCGCTCGGGCCGCACCTTGAGCACCGCGGAGGCCTCGGCAGCAGCGCTGCTCTGACTGCGGCTCCATGGGCCTGGGGCCCGGGGACAGCTGCCCCGCCGGACCCACGCCGCCGCCGCCCGGTACATCGCGCGCCTGTCCCAGAGAAACCTGGACACACACGAAAAAGCGAGATGTAACAAGCACGTCGCGCACAGCCCCAGGCGGGCACCGCTCCCAGCCCCCAAGCCCAGCCAAGGGCTCTTTGGGAGAGCAGTGCCAGCCTGGAGCCTGGGCGCGTGCCCATCCCCCGGGACTCGGACCCTCCAGCGCAGAGCTAAGCCGCTGCATGGCCACGCTTTGCCAAGGCTGCGCCCCACGCTGCGCGCACCGTGCTGCGGCGGCCGGCGGCCCCTGCTGCGCCCGGCTA